ATCTTAGCTCGCATGACCCCCTGCTGGGAGCACCAGTCCTCCTCCTCCCTCTCTATGGTAAGCTCCAGTTCTAATGGCCCCTCTGCTGTGATGCGCTTCTCTTACTTGGCGTTTAGCATTTATTTGTGGCTTTCACATCTCTTTTCATGTAATTAAGTCTTCTCTCTTTAATTCAGTTCAAACTGTCTTAAGAATGGAGACTTCAACGGTGAGATCTCAATTAATCTTCTGGGGAAAAGGCTCTCTTTGAGACAAAGCTGGGGTTGGGGCAAGGGCCAGGCTCCTCCCTGCTGGACCGGCTCTTCTGGTAAATGAGAAGGAAGAGACTGCTGCCTTAGTCCAGGAGCCCAGCTGATGAGGTGGTGAGGAAGCCAACAATTCTTGGACTATTATATGCAGTCTGGGACAATCTCAAGGTCATGTGTGTGACTGAATTTTATTTTTAAAGTAGGCTTCATGTCCAACGTGGGGTTCAAACTCATAACCCCAAGATCAAGAGCTGCATGCTCCACCAACTGAGCCAGCTAAGTGCCCCATGACTGGAATAAAAAATAAAAAAGCATTTTTAAGAATATAGGCATAATTTAGTTATCAATTGTAACAACAGTAGGAAAACTTTGCTCAGTTCAAAGGGACTCATGTATCCATTTCTGTGGAACCTATTTTAGTTCTGGCTCTTGTTTTCTTACCCATACTTTTCTTTCACCTGATGTCTAAATCCTTCTAGTTACATGAATTTTCCTAAGTTGCCTCCAACTCTTTGTAAAACAGAATGAGGTTCCAATAAAAAATAAGAGTTGGTCTAGTTTTCTTTTTTCTTTCTTTCTTTTTTTTTTTTGGAGAGAGAGAGAGAAAGAGAGAGAGAAAAAAGATCAGAGGGAGAAAGAATCTTAAGCAGGCTCCACACTCAGTGAGGAGCCCATCGTGGGTCTTGATCCCACAACTCTGGGATCATGACCTGAGCTGAAATCAAGAGTCTGATACTCAACCGACTGAGCTGCCCTTCTAATTTTCTTTTAAATGCTCTAATGGTATACAAAAAAATGATGTTCCAAACAACTTATTATAAGAAAGAGAAGTAACAAAGATAATGCAAGTAAATCACTGAACACAGTGGCTCGGTGCTTAGCATTCCAGAGGAGTTGAAACACCACTCTCATTTCTTATTGGCTTCACTTCTCTGGACCTCAGTTTTCTCATGTATAAAACGAAAACACCACCTCAGGTTTGCTCATCTGCTCAGTCATTTGTCCCAAAATCATTCACTGAATGTTTACTACCTGCAAGGACCAGTTTTAGGAACTACAGATAAACTAATGAACAAACCAAAGTCTTTATAATCATGAGGCTTGTATTCCAGTAGAAGAAACAGACAAAAACCAAGTAAACACACAAAAGAAAAATGTCAGAGATCAGTGCTATGACAAAAATATAAGCAGGTAAAAGACTAGATAATATAGTAGGTGAAAGACTAAAATCAAGTAGCTCAGCTACTTTAGATGAAAGGTCAAAGAGAACCTCTTGGAGGTAGTGACCTGGGAGCTGAGTCAATGGAAAGAACCGGTAAGCCATACACCAGGGCAGAGCATTCTAGGGAGTGGCAACAGCAACTACAAAAGCCCTAAGGCAGGGACATGTGTGGTGGGAACCAGGAACAGCAGGAGCCTCTGAGGTCTGGGTACAGAGAGGGAGTGGAGGCGTGGAGGGAGGATGGGAGAGGCAGCCAGGACCAGATCATGCAGGCTTTAGCGGACTTGGTAAGGACTCTGGGTTTTATTCCAAGTGGGTGGAGGTTTGTAAGCAAGAATATGATAAGATCTGAACTTGGTTTTTAAAAAGTTTTTCCAGTTTATTTATTTTGAGAGAAAGTGAGCATGTGTGCACCCACCCCCCCCCCCACATCAGTGGCAGAGGGGCAAAGAAAGAGAGAATCCCAAGCAGGCGCCTCACTGTCAGTACAGAGGCAGATTCCACTCGAACTCACAAACTGTGAGATCAGACCTGAGCTGAAACCAAGAGTCAGACACTTAACCAGCTGAGCTTCCCAGGCGCCCCTGTGCCTGGTTTTTAAAAGACGGCTCCGGCTGCAGTGCCCAGGCAGTAGTGATTTTCTTAAGGTCCCTTCCCAGCTCCAAACTTCTGATTCTTTCCCTGTCATTCCAGGCTTCCATGAATTGGTTGCAGGAGCAAGAAGGATGCACCCTCCTTGCTGGAGAGGGTGCAGAGAGGAGGAGTGTCTTCTGCCTAAGGCAGGAATAGGGAATCTGTGCCACCTTGTTCTGCAGAAGATGGAGGGAGTGGCCTAGTCAGGGAGGGGTGGGAATTCCAGCTTGGAAAACATCCCCAAGCCACCTGTATTGTTTCTGCCTCCTGTGTGGAAGTTTCTGCCAATGACACAGCGCTCTGGAATGCTCCCCCCACCCAACCATACACACACCCAATCTTCCGTTTACAGAGGCAGACTTGTACTTTGCATTCCTCCCAGGATTTAGTTCAAATCTAGCCTACAGGAAATGGTCGATAAAGAGCTACTGATTGATTAATGAAGATGGGGAATATTCTCAGCCATTAAGCAAATATTAATGAGTACTATGAGTACTATGTTGGTCTTTGGGGATGCAAGGTGATTAAGATGGGTTTCGAGCCTTCACTGAGCTCAGAATTCAGCAGATAGGCCAAAACCACAGGCAGTTACGATGCTGGATGCAAGAGTAACAGCAGCAACATTTACTGGGCCCTCCTTATCCAGAGGTAGAACATGTGGGCTTTGGAACCAACAGGCTTGGGTTCAAATCATGACTTCACCACTCAGTAGCTGTGCATCTTTGGGCAAATCCCTTAAAATTCCCTATGCCTCACTTTTCTCTGTAAAATGAGAATAAGAAAAGTACCTACCTCAATGGTACTACTTTGAGAATTCAGAGAATACATATGAACACTTACATGCGATTACACAATAAATATTATTGTTAAAATTACTCTAACATCTGTGTGGAGCTTGATACATATGATCTCATTTCATCCTTACAAAAAACTGAGGCAGGTATTATTATCTCCATTTTTCAGAGGCTCAGAGAAGGGGAGGAATGTGCCCAACGTCAAGGAGCTGGTACTTGATGGAGCCTGGATTCAAATTCAGCTGTGTCTGACTCCATAGCCCAATAACAATATGATCTCATTTTCTTAAAAAGCCCCCGCTGTAGTGCTCAACCCACAGCAGGGGCCCCATAAAGGGAGCTATGATTATTACTTCATTGTCCCTAGAGACTTTCTAGAAGGAGTGCCATGGAGCCCAGAGTAAGGGCTTCTTTCAACCAGAAGAGGTGGACAGGGGTTCAAAGGTACTGACTTGGGTGCCAACTGCAGGCTCTGCCCTGAGTTCCATGGGCTTCCCTCACTGAGGTTTGGAGTACTCATTTGGAAGGCCAACTTCCACCACTAACTCAGACCAGAAACTGCCCCCAGGTGCCCACACACCTGCCTGGACAGGCAGGCAGTTTCCTCTAGGTTGGCTCTTGTCTGGCCCTATGCATCTCTCAGTTTCGTCACTTAGCCACCAGCCTGGGGCCTCACGCCTGCACCTGCTGCTTGACCCAGTCCCAGGAGACCCTGAGCTGAGACTTGGGCTCCCTCACTAGACCCTGCCCCAAAGGGCTGTTTCTGAGGACTCCTTGAAGATTTCCTTGATACGGTAGCCCCTGGGGCTTCATATGAACATGGGTGCTATGAGCAAAGGGAAATTTTTCTGGGTGAGTAGCAGACGGAGAGTGGGTAGAACAAGGGGTGGTTGTTCTTGTTCTGAATCAGAGGAGAGTATGGGGTGAGGCCCACTGGGCCTCATGGATTTATGTTTAAGCAGCACTGATCCTGGCTGGGTCAGCTCTCCCACTCAGCAGTCCAGCTCATCCTGTCCAGCAGGCGTGGACATCCTGGGGTTAGGAGGGAACACTCATTTCTACTTCCCATTTGAGTCACACTCAAGACTTCTGGCCTTTCTTGGTAATTTGACTACAGAAGGCATGTAATGGCCTATGTCACTAAACCCTCAGCCACCAAAGGCTGGCCTAATCTTAGTTGACGACAGCAAGAGAGACAGTTTGCAGCCTCAATATGTTCAGAGGACCTTGCTTTCGGCTAACTCCCAACAATCCTGTGGAAAGAATATTATCTCCATTTTATAGATGTCCAGACTTAGGGGCTCCTGGGTGGCTCAGTCAGTTAAGCGTCCGACTTTGGCTCAGGTCATGATCTTGCGGTTCGTGGGTTCGAGTCCCGCGTCAGGCTCTGTGCTGACAGCTCAGAGCCTGGAGCCTGTTTCAGATTCTGTGTCTCCCTCTCTCTCTGCTCCTCCCCTGCTCACACTGTCTCTCTCTCTCTCAGAAATAAATAAAACATTAAAAAATTAAAAAAAAAAAAAAAGATGTCCAAACTTAAAGAAGTAAAGTAACTGGTCCAAACTTGTGAAGCGGGAGAAGCGAGAGAGCCAGCTATTCTTCCACTCGAAACAGGCCTGTTGGTTGAACGAACACATGACGTAGCTATGGCGGTGACCTCGTCAGGGAGCAGCAACAAGACCAAATATTTATAGTTCTCAAAGTGCTTTTTCATCTATCATCTCCCTGGGCCTCACAGCTAGCCCATGAGGGAGGCAAGGCCAGTGTTATCTTTCTGCAACAGATGAGGCAACAGGCAGAGCTTGGGCAAGAGGCTTATGGCCACACAGCAAACAAGGAGCAAAGCCGTCCTGGAAAAACTCAGAGGCCTCACAACACCTTGTTTAATCATCCGAACACATGTCACGCACCTACCGTATGTTAGCTGTGCTTCTCTGTACTTATATTTTTATTTTATTTAAACGACTTTATTTTTAAGTACTCTCTACACCCAACGTGGGGCTCAAACTTCCAACCTCAAGATCAAGAGTCACATGCTCCAGATGGAGCCAGCCAGGTGCCCCAGCTCCTATATACTTTAAATATTCAACTCACAAAGCCTTCCGCTCAGTCGACAAATAATGACTGAGTGTCTTCTGTGTTCCAGGTTCTATAGCGGGTTCTAGGGATACAGCAGTAAATAAAGCAGAGAAGGAGGGCCCGGCCTTCTTGGAGGTATTCAGCAAAGATCGAAGAAAATATGCCCTATTGCCAAATGCCCGCACGATTCCTGTGAACAGAGCATGACCTGGGGCACTTGTGGAGGAGGTGGAGGACAAGGTTATGGACCACTGGTCTCAGCTTCAGGAATCTTAAAATCTCCAAGCTATTGGTTCAAAGGATACACATGCACTCTCTCAGACTAAAAGTTTGCTATTGGAGAGTAGCGCCAATGGTGATCACAGCAACCTGATTACCTGGGAAGACACTCGGACAATAACAGCACTCACAGCAGCTGTCACACTGAGTAATGACTGTATGCTAGCCTCCATGCTCAGTGTTCCAGGTGTCTTACCAGTTATTTTCATGCTCCTAAGAGTCTTTCAAGAAAAGCACTGTGTATTATTATCTCCTTTTTATGGATGAGGAAACTAAGGCTAGGGGAGATTAAGTAATTTGTCCAAGGATAACTACAGAGCAAGGAGGCTTCGGTACTGGTTTGCCAAATTTTGTGCCTCTTAACAGGGATGGAATCTGTCTGAAGGAGGCAGACACCAGGAATACCAGGAGTAGCTATTGCCTGGGAGGGCTGGAGCCTCCAGAGCCCCCAGAAGATTCTTCTTCACCCCCTTGCATCCAGTCTGAACATCACATGGATGAGGAGGTAAGGAGGAAATGGTCAGGTATGCTCAAGCTGTCTCTCCCTCTCCACTGAACCTCCAGGGAAGAAGTGCATGACCTTTGTTTGCCACCCATTTAACCCCCTGGAGAGAGAAAGAAGTGGGCAAGGATAAGGGCGGGGGAAGTCTTTTCTCCCTTGGGTGGGTGGAGGGCCCATCAGGAAAGAAGGGAGAAGCCTGATTGGTTCTTTCCTTTCTTGGACAAGAAGCCTGGACATGTGATACGGTGCATGTCCTTCGCACGGAGCCCCCTTGGGGGAATGCCAGGCACCTTTTGGACCCAAGAAGCCCCAGAAAGGAGAGACTGGTATGGCCTTAAATTGCAAGCTAAGCTACCAATTTCTAAGCACTGTAACTAGGTCATCAGGTTCCTAGAGAAGCCAGCTGTGGTGGGGGGATGGGGAGGGAAATTCTGTAGTCTACCAAGATCCCTACTTCCCTTCAGGCCCCGCCCTCCCTGAAATCTGCACCTGCTCCCAAACTGATCCCTTCCCCCAGCTGGGCCCAGCTGTCAACGGCTTCCAAAGCCCTGCCCCTGCCTTCCACGGGCCAGAACCATGGGGGCCTCCTGGGCACAAGGTATCTTACAAGCCACCTGAGCCCTTCAGAAAGGGGCTTGTACGACAGGGAAGGAGTGGCCTCTCCTGGTGGGTAGTTCTTGCTCCATGAGGGCAGCAGGAAAGTTGGGCCCCTTCGGGCCTTCCGAGGGTACCTTCCTGGCATTGTTGCCACAGGTGGCAGGAGACAGGTGACGTTTACCCTACTGAGACAAGAGTTGCCAAAAGGCTTCAATCAAGCCTTTGAATCTGCACCTGCCCCGAGCCCCAAAATAACAACCAGGGCAGTCTACCTGATCCACAGGTCGCAGGTGCCTCTGGCTTTTATCTCCCTGCAGTTTTCCCTGCTGTGCCCCAGCTGGCAAGACTCTCTTTCCCAGGGGTTTCTGGAGACCTGGCTGCATCCCTCCAGTGCTAGGCCTCTCCCCGTTGGGCCACCTGTACTGTCAACCATCCCCATCCCTCTGCCCAGGGGCTTCTGCCATCAGTCACTGCTCCCTCCTCCCCGACCAGCTCTACTGGACAGCCCAGACCCTCTTCAGCCAGTCTGCCTGCTCACTGCCTCCCAAACACATCATACACTTTCGATCCTCTAGATCCGCCCGAGTAGTTCTTACCTACCGAGGCTGTCCCTGTCACATTCCTTCCACCTGCCATACGCCTTCATGGTCCACATCTTCCTAACAGGTAATAATGATGCCTAATACTATGTCGGGCTCTGTGCTAGGTGGGCTACAAGATCTCTCACTCATTTAACAAATATGTGCTGAATGTCTCCTACATGCCAAGCACTCTGCTGGAGGCTGGGGATGAAGGAAAAAATGAGGCAAAACTCCTGCACACTCTAGGGGATTTTACTGGAGGAGACAGACAGTAAACATGTAAACATAGGTGGCTTCTCAAGAGGTGATCATTTCAGCTGAGACTTAAATGGTAAGATGACAGTCCTGATCAGATCTAGGAGAAGAGTGATCCAGGCTAAAGAAACCCAGAAAGCCTATGAAAAAGAGATTACTACTATTATCTTCATCGAGGGATGACTCTTATCTTCACCTTACAGACGGAGAAACTGAGGGCTCAGTGTGAAGTGCACTGCACAAAGCTACACTGCTGAGAAAGCTATCGTTCAAGCCTTTAGTGCTCGTTCCCCTTCCTGACACTTTCCACTAGTGGCACAGGAGAGGGTCTGGCTTGGCAGAGCAGCTGGCAAAGGAGAAGGCGCATGTTGATAATGCAGCCCAAGAGTGGAGACCTCTGGACCGAGTCATCCACTGAATAGCTGATGGTGGAAGTGGACTGGGTTGGCAGAGTTCCAGGGCATCTGTGGGATGCAGCCAGTGGGTCTGTCCTCTTCTGCTTCTGGAAACGACACCACAGATTTGGCACAGTTTGCCCAGAGCCCTTCACCAAGTGGTTCGGGTCCATTCCTCCTGCTGCAAATGAGTTTGCTTCCTTAGGAACAGAGGCATTCTTGTCACCTAACCTGCATCTAATAATAACCCTCCATGTTCGTTGAGCAGATGCTGCCCAAGCCCTTACCCAACCTCAGGCCCTGTGCCAGGAACGCAGGGTGAAATAAGCCAGTCCAGACCTGCAAAGAAGCAATGACACAGTGGCTTGAGGGTAGGCTTTGGCACCAGATACGTCTGAGTGTGAGCCCCAGACCTGCCTCCTACAAGGTATGTCAGTGTGGACATGTTACAGAGCCTCTAGAAGCTCTGGATTCTCTGTCGTGACACGGTTGTGAGGATCAAACAAGATGATTATGTCAAGGGCATCAATGCAGCACTTGGCACAGAGTAAACACTCAATACATACCATCTGTTATTATTATTAAAAAGCACTTTTACATTTCACTTTCTTGCTTAAGCCTCCCTTACTCTGATGGGTTGGTGCTATTCTCTCAGATTCAAGGGTGAGAATTTGAAAATTGATATGCCTAGTACTTAGGTAGTAGAGCAAGAGATCAATCTAAGCTTCAAATCTGAGTCCAGAGTTTTACCTATGGGTGTGTGGCATGTGATCAGTACATGCTAACTATAATGAACCTTGCCTGGTGGAGGCACAATGGAGGGGGTAGACGGATGGCACATATAGCCCGACTGAGGTGGCAGAAGGATGGGACCCAGGTCCACTCACCCCAATACCCACAGTATCCCCAGCACTTAGCACGTATAAAGCATTCATCAGTATTTGCTGCCTCAACAAATGCAACAAAACTCTAAGGACAGCTCAAAGAGATGAACAGAGTTAGGGAAGGCGGGCATCATAGATAACATTCAGGCATTAAAAGCCAGAAAGGCCTGTAAGTTTGACTCTGCCATTTACTGTGGGATAAACCTTGCCTTAGTTTCTTTCCTGAAACGGGACTAAACATACCCACCTCACTTACCTCACTGTGAAATGATATATACAAGGGGGCAGGTAAATTATACAGCGTTTGCATGCACACAAAAGCTACTATCATAGGGGCGCCCAGGTGGCTCAGTCGGATGAGCATCCGACTTCAGCTCAGGTCATGATCTTGTAGTTCGTGGGTTCGAGCCCCGCGTCGGGCTCTGTGCTGACAGCTCGGAGACTAAAGCCTGCTTCGGATCCTGTGTCTCCCTCTCTCTCTGCCACTAACCCACTCACATTCTGTCTCTGTCTGTCTCAAAAATTAAAAAAAATAAAAATAAAAAGCTACTATCATCATGCTACAGACTACTAAGGCAGTAAAGTGTTGAAAGTGTCACCTCGAGCTTGAGCCCAGGTTGCCCTGGTATTAGCTTATGAGGCCCAGGACACGTCACTTCTCTCTGAGCCTCAGTGTTCTCAGCCATGGAACGAAGATAACCTTGTAGGGTTTAAGGAGGGCAGAGATAAAGAACACAGGCTTTGGAGTAAGACAGTCTTGGTTTCAAATCCCGACTCTGCCTCCTGCTAATTAAACCCTCCAAATCTCAGTGTCCTGTAAAGTTGTTGGGACAGTAGCACAGAGATGATGTTGGTAAAAGGCCTGTCACATGAGTGGCCACCATCATCTAACACTGGCACAGTGTGTGTGTGTGTGGGGGGGGGGCAGAATATTTAAAAGTGGGAGCTTGAAAGCTACGGTCCCAGGCTTTGCCACTTTACTAACTGTGCTACCTTGCATAAGTTGCTTAACTTCTCTGTACCTCAGTTTCCTCATTTGTAAAATGGGGTTAATAATAGTACCAACTTCAAAGTGCTGCGAGGCAAGTGGAATAAATACATATACAGCGCTTTGAACAATGCCTGGCATCGAGCAAGCACTTGATAAATGTCAGGTGCTATTAATAGTAATGTTAACAATAATACTAATCACCAAGTGGAATAAGAGGGAGGGACTGTGTAATTCTGGGATGTGGGCATCCCGGGGAGTAATTCCAGGGAAGTCCCTGGACAGCTCTGTAGGCAAGTTTTCAGCCTCTGAGAGAAAGACTCTTCCATGGAAAGGACAGGAGATTGGGGGGGGGGGGTGTTCCTGAGCAAAAATCTCAATCCTGCTGACCAGGAAGCCAATCTCTGGGGAGACAAGTCAGGCTCCTTGGAAGGGACACTGTGTTCCTGGCTCTGCCTGGCCTGACCGGGGGAACAAAGGCACGTGTGTGTGGCCTGGGAGGAGGGAGGGGAATGTTTCCCTTTCAAGAGCGGAACAAAGGATCTGAGGCATAGTTGAGTGCGTTCCAATCCCCTCCCAAGCTAGCTCCCATTCCTCAGATGGTTGTCCAACAAGGTTTTCAACCTTCTAGCTCCCTCCTGAAAGGTGAAGGGGGAGGGGCTGGCTCCACCTCACTCTACCCTCTGCCATCAGTCTCCAAGAGGCAGGGTTTCTATGTGCCACACCTCTGAGATCTCTCAGCAGTCTCCATCCCGTGCGGGGGTGGGGCAGGGACCTCTGGGGGGAACTCAGGGTTAATGGATGATACAAGGCACCGAAAGTGACAGGCTTAATGTCCCTCTAGGGGGAGACCCAGACTGAAACTGCTACTGAGTGATGGAGCCTGGGAGAGAGAGATGGAGTTCCGGGCAGCCTCCAGGATGGGGAGGTGGGGGGACAGCCTGACAGAACTAGGTGGAAATGGATGTTCAAGTCTTAAAAGAGTTGACCAAGGGTTGTAGAGAGAATCCAGGTGAAGGGGAAAGGAGCACAGAAAGTAACTGACAAGAGGAAAGGGAGGGACACGTCCAAAAACAGTCGTTTGTGGGGAGGGGGAAGTCTTTAGGGACATTACTTTCCAGTTTCTACACTCTCACCAGCAGGAATCGGCTGCAGGGCTGGGACAGGAAGCAGTCTGTGGAAGTCATTGCAAAGGCATTTCCTGAAGAGCGAGAGAAAAACCTCTAGTTCCGAGGGGAGCTCTGGAGTCTGCCCAAAAAGCCCTGTAGCTTAGAGCTAGCTGTAAGGCTCCGGCTTGGCCTGAGAGTCTCATCAGGGATGAAACCAAGTACCAGAAGGTCCCAGAGGCAGTTTCTTTCTGCAAAAACACTATTTACAAAAATCAATATGTAATAAATGGGAAGCCAGAAGGAGCCCTAGGATGAGGCTGCTGTGTGCTGTGGACACTCATAGTCACTACTCTGAGAATGTTAAGAAGCGGATTAACTCACTGAGTCTTCAGGACAAGGCATTGTTATTACGGCCACTTACAAGTTACAAGACTTGTCCACGGTCACGCAGCAAGTTAAGTGGTCCAGTGATCCAAAAACCCAAACCCTCCATCTTCCTCCTGATGTGTAACCTGGGGCAAGCCATTTCACCTTCCTCAGCCTGATTTCCCTCCTGCTCACCTCCCTGGGCAGCTCTAGGCATCAAAAAGGCAAGGTGGACGTGAAAGCGCTTTTGGAGTTGCAAAGTGCTACATAAATGTAGAATGTTAGTATCACGAGGTCATGAGAAATTACCCTATATCAACACCGGAATTACTTAATTTTTGCAGTTCAAGTGCTGCAGCTGTTGACAGGCAAGAGCTATCCTCCAATGTAACTCAAAGGCTTTAATGGTGGAACTGGCCACAAGGCTTAAGGGACAACCAGGATTCCTAGACTGTCCACCTCAACCCTCCATCCTGCAGATGAGGGGGGGAACTGGAGCCTGGGGGTGAAGTGAGATGGCCAAGGTAAGACAGAGAGTCAGAGCAGAACGAGATGGCTAGGACCCTGCCCTGAGGACGGGCTGGAGGGGTATGGAGTCCAAAACAGGAGAATGGATGCTGAATGGGTTTCTGACTTGAGTTCTGAGGCGAAGATGATGAGAATTATGATAACAACGCGTGCCAGGCTCTACACATCTTGGGCATATGCTTCTCTGAGATCTTTGTCATAACTTGATGAAGCAGGTAATACTTTCCCCAAGGTTCAGAGAATTCAAAGAGCTTGCCCAAGGTCACACAGCTAGACGTGGGTGAGCTGGGACCCAAGCTCAGACAATGTTTCAGACAGAAATATTGCTAGAATGGAGGAGGACCATTCAGGATACCCCATTTGGAGAGAACTATCCCTAAAGAACATCTTGCTTATTTAGCCTTGATTTAATGACCTCCTAGTGGTTAAGAAATGTGGCTTCCATCAATAGGCTGTGTGCAAGGTTGGCCGTAATCTTAGTCCCTGATTACAACTTTCACCTCCATCTCCCGATCCAAACCACTGTTCTTTCTAATCTGGCAGTTGCACCACCCTCATCACTGGGTTCCTGGCTACAGCTCTTGCAGAATTCAGATCACTTTAACCCTGCTCCAAACTACTGCCTGGCCTCTCACGCATTCAACCACGGCCAAGTCCTCACCCTGGCCTGTAATGCCCTGTGCAACCTGGCCTTTGGCCACCTCTCCCCACCTCGATCCCAACCACTCTCCTCCTTGCTATTTCTTCTCCCACCACATTCTTCAGGTTTTGGCTCAAATATTACGTTGGTGAGGCCTTCCCTAACCACTCTTAAAACTGCAGCCCCACCTCCCTTGCTAGGCATGCCCTATACCTCAACCTGCTTTATTTTCTTCATAGCGCTTCCTCTCATTTGATATATTACATATATAGATGTATAGCTACATATTTGTCGTCTGTTTCTCCCCAATAGAATGTGAGCTTAACAAGGACAGAAACTTTGTTTTACTTAAGGCAGTATCCCGAGTACCTAGGACAGCCTGTGCATAGAAGCTCAATAAATACCGTCTGAATCAATGACTGAACTATCAGCTAAAGGAGTTCCCATTACTATTATTCTGGTTTCCGGTCTGCTAACTGCCTGTTTCTTCAGAAATGTGGTGGGCATCTCTTTCATTAGGTACCTGCTATGGCCAGGGCCTCTGCTCAGTGCTGAGGAAACGAGTATGGACGAGATGCAGGCTTGACCTTCAGGAAACACCTAAATCTGGCAGCGATATGATCGTGTTAGAAATGTCTTCTTTACACTCATTTAGTACTACCACTGTTATTCTTCATTTATTTGAATTCTGCTGCGTACTTTACCAATAAAAAAGGTCAGCCCCTCTTCCCAGATATTTGAAACTGGTGATCATATTCTCCTGAGTCTTCTCTTCCCCAGGCTAAACAAAAAGACCCCGTGGGACTGTCTGACTCAGGTCTGCCAACTGGGAATGGGGAAGACAGACTGTCGGCTAGAGGGACAGAAGAGAAGTGGCTCCAGGAGCAGAGTGACTCCTTCAAAGAAAAGAGAGGGAGTCCCGAGGGAGGACTCTGTGGAATTAGGTTGGAGGTTGGGGGAGGGGACGGGGCCCTGCTAATTAAGGTAGTAGGAGATTATGCTTCTGTCAGAGAGCAGCTCAATGGGAATTACCCCTAAATCTATCCATGCTAAACCCAGACAAGACCACGGTTGCTGAAAGAAAGCCCCATGACGGAAGGCTGTGGGTACTCGAAAATGCTGAAGCCCACTGACCTTAGGACTGATCCCTGTTGGGGAACTGACAGCTGACAACCCCTGCTTCCGGCAGCCCAAACAAATGTGGTTGACTGCCCCCACAAAAGACAAGAAAATCCTCTGGGTTTTGTCGAGACCCCCTGAAAAAACACCTGGGTAATTTTCTAGCAGAAGCTGAAGTGCTCTGTGGGGCCACGGGGGAAATTAGTCCCAGGAAGTCTGGAAAATTCTGTGACAGTGACAGAATTAAAAGCAACCTCAAATGTACGTCCAGAAGAACTGGGTGCTTTGAGGTGGAGTCCCTGAGACATTTCGACCTCACTTTGGGACCTGAATGAGATTACTAAAAATTTCCACGTTTGGGGTTTCTAATGGGGTTTCCCCAAGAAAACCGCAGAACTGCCAGCAGCTGCCGAGATCTGCAAAGGTCACTGAGGTGCTTCAGCTACACGTGTACCCATGCCAAAGAAGCAAGAAGAAATCTATAGAAACTAGAAGACCACAGAGCCATGCAACCTGGGAAAGGCCAAGTTCTGTTTCCTCTCCCCACATACTGTTGATTGCTCTCAGCAATGGTGTTTCTATCAAGCTTAGGGGCTTCCCAGGGACAGCGATCCCAAAATGGTCTAGGCTACCTGGGCCCTCACCCTAAAACTGTCCACATTCCCATTGGAAAGCCCCAGAAACACTCTGTTCCTATAGGGAAGGTCACATCATGCTCCAATCTAGATGATTATCTCAGGAGCTGGCTTTGTTTCTTGAGAAGCTCCAGGGCCAAAGTTCAGTCTTCTGAGCCTGATAGCCCACTCGTTAAAAGAGGTGCTTCTCCCACCCTACAATTAAAGTCCAGGAAGGGCTTTTGTTCTAGATCCTTTACTAGAGTCAAGCTATTGCAGGGGGCTATCATTATTCTATTTTACAGGTGGGAGAGATAGAAGGAAGAGACAAACAGGTCCAGCACCTTGTCATGGGGCTCCAGTAAGGCAGTGGTGTGGCTAAGACTGAAATTCCAGTCCTTGGAACTCACCCACAATTAAGTAGGTGGATTTGAAGCAGGCTACCTCTCCCCACAAGCACATGATACTGATCTACTGGCAGAGCCTGAGGGGGTAGGACAATGAAAACACTAACAAGAAGGTCACTCTGGCTGGGCAAAACCTTGATGCCCACTTGAGTTTTACCAGTGCCAGAATCAGGCTACACACAGCCTTTGGGAACCTGCTACTGCCAACAAAGGCACTGTTCTACCCGCAGCTACCTGAACAGTGTCAGCGTCGCCGACCAGGCTGAGTCCCTCCACAGGCATGTTTGGTTTGGCCTTACCGTATCTCTGGCTTTCTGTGCCAGGATGGCTGGGTCACTTTCTTACAGTACCTAGGGCAGCCTGATACAGATGGAAAAGGCTTCAAGCTCTGGAGTCAGGCTGACCTAGGTATAAATTCTCACTCAGTCACTTAACTGGTTGAGAGATACCTGGAGCCAGTCATTTAGCTCTCAAGGAGTTTCACAGGTAAACTGGGAATAAACCCACCTGCCTTGGAAAGTTATTGTGTGGGTGAAATAGCAGGTCATTTCCATGAGGGAAGATATCGTGTGCAGCTTATGGTCAGCACCTAGCACAGGGCCTGCTTCATGGTAGCTGCTCAATAAATTTTGGTTGCATAAATGACAGACTCAACACGATGTCTCAAACAAGATGTACTCCACAAAGGTTCGTTTTCTTCACCTCTCCTGTAGGGATGCTAAATTTAGAGCCAACCCCAAGGTGGTAATGGCCCGTAAGTCCTACACTCCTGGATTCACCAGAGCTCCCAGGAAGGTTTTGAGATGCCTGTAGCCAGTCTGTGCAGCTCAAACAGGATGGGCGACTAGCTTCTACCCATAGGATCCCCAGTCGAATGTTCTTTACCTCCTGGCCTCAGAGAGCATGTGTGCCCAGACATGGTGCTGACATAACTTGCTCTTCTGCACACAAAGCCCTCTGTCCACCAAGAGGAAGTAGCATATGGTATGTTATCTAACGGGCTCTGAAAATCTTTGAGCAAAGAGACAGAAGATGTAATTTCAATCGAGGGGCCATCCGACGAACTTGCCCCATGCTGCTGTGTCTGAAACCTCTCTCCATGTACAATACCGGGCGACTGGCAGGTCTCTGACCCACGAAGCCCTCCTCAGAGGCTGGCCCACGGAACAGGCACCTCTCCCAAACTGCCTTTTGTTAACAGCTGGCAACAGCCCACCTGGTATTAGCACCACTGGCCAAAGACACAACATAGGACAAGGTGGGCATAAGGCCCAAGTCTACTAGGAGATGCCTCAGAGGGTGTGTCTAAAGCGCTGGAATCCCATCCCTCCTGGAATCAGCTGAACAAATATTTGCCCCCAAAGAGAATCAAAGCAGGAGGGAATAGGCGAGGTCATCACACAAACCAACAGGAACTATTTAATCATTTATCCCCCCAGGGAGTTCATTTACAGAATGGCTTTCAAGTCTGGTCAGCCTTGGCTGGTGAGCCCTGCACCTTTACCTCCCCTCAACCCCACCCCAGTCATCTGACCTCTACTGACTTGACCCCTTTGTATTTTACAGGAACCAGCGGCAGGAAGAGTTAATGAAGTTGCAAAGAGATGGGAAATAAGACAGGGGGAAGGGTTCCAGGGCAGACCAGGAGGTCTCCTGCTCCGAGGTAAACTGAAGGTGCCACGCCCTAGGCCCAGCCTATGGATAATTTGCATGCTTGACATTCCAGAGTCTCCTGTGCGTGGCCCCTTCCACCTCAGCTCCTTCAACCGATGACCTGTTTCCCAAAGCCTGCTCAATTTTTCTGAGTATCCTGAGGGGACCAAATACCTCTCATAAGCCCTGCACCTCCCCTACGCAGGAGGATAAGCAAGGAAATTAGGACTGATCTCACTGTGGAAGAGCAAAAATTGCCTCCAATGACCACTGGCAAGGAACCTCTCACCACGATCTCCTCCTGACATGGTGATGGGCAAGAGATTCTCCCTCCCTGAGAAACGAATGAGGCATGACTCCAGGGCCCAGAAAGTGCATCTGGAACCAGTAACAACTGCTCCAGAAACTTGCTGGTGCCAGTCGCTGCTCACATCAGCTCCAAGATTTACAATATGCTGCAACGCAAAGAGGGCTCAGCGCATTTTTTTAGTGGAAGAAACTGAGGCTCAAGGTAAAGTGGCCTGTCCAAGGTCACAATGCCGGTGAAGTGACCGGGTTTGGCGCTCAAGCCTAGGTCAGTTTGTTCCCGAAGGCTGTCACTGACTCTCAACGTCCCAAAGACCGGGTGCGTGCTTTGCCGGCACACGGGGCGCCACGAAGGGCCCTGGGGCCCTGGCCGGAAAGCAACAGGCAGAACAGCTGGGGCTCCCCAACCGACCCTGGGCAGCGAGGTGCAAAGTCCCCAGGCTTAATGCGTGACACAGCAAGGGCTCCACAAAAAGGCCAACCATGCAGAAAGTTACACGCTTTGGAGCAAAGGGACACAGGGCTGCAGCACAAACACGGCCAGCCCACTGGCACTGCCTACACTGCCCTCAAATCTGACAATCCTCAGCCATCCCAGCCAGTGGGAACTTCTGCCTGGCCGTGCCCTGTTCTCAGAGGAGAGGAACATGTGCGCAAACTCTGAAATAAAGGGAACTTGATGTGTGGGAGGGAAGCCCGGGACAGGACTGACATCCTGGGGGGAGTTGAGAATGGAGGGGCTCCCAGGCATTATGCTCATCGGCCCTTTCTGTGATGACCCATTTGAGGGGAGCACTGGACTGACTTCCCACTCGCAAAGATGTGGGGCCCCATAAACACACAGGCTGTTTTCTTCTGCTGAGAAATGGGAACCCAAGTATGAAAGAGTGGGGCCACGAGGGTGACCGGAATGAGAGCTGCCTAGTCCTTCAAGAACTAGGTCATCGGTATTTGAGAACGGCCAACCTCTTGCGGTGCAAGGAGACCAGTCACATCTCCTTAACAAACAGTAGCTCCGAGAATCACCCCGCACCACGGAACAAGAAGCAGGGGAGAAGCTGTTAGGGATCTCTGTGACCAGAAGCCAAGGGAAAGGGACACACAAGGGGCGTGGTCCTTACCCAGCCGCCGTTCTCCTGGATCCAAGGCTCTAGGTGGTCGTTCAGGTAAGTGGCCATCCAAGTTGCGATCCGACTCACCAGTACCTGCATCTCTTTGTCCACGCTCTCCACGCACAGTGCCCCACCGAAGGAGAAAAAGGCCACGATGCGACCCCAGTTCACCCCATCCCGGAAGAGTTCGTTCACTACCTGCTCGAAGCTCTGATATGCCGTCCCTGGGGTGATGTGAAGCTGGGACGTCAGGTCGCTGAATGCCCGCCGGTACCTCAGTTCAAACTCATCCCCGGCCTCCCTCAGCGCTTGCTTCACCGCTGCCATGGGGATCACCTCCCGGGCGTCCAAGCTGCTGCTGTGGCCAGTGGCTCCATTCACCGCAGGGCTGTCCGCCAAGTGCCAGGACGGGTTGCCATTGACGGCACTGGGGGTCTCCATCTCCGATTCAGTCCCTTCTGGGGCCTCAGTTCTGTTCTCTTCCACATCGCTAAACTGACTCCAGCTGTATCCTTTCTGGGAAAGCTTGTAGGAGAGAAAGTCAACCACCAGCTCCCGGTTGCTCTGAGACATTTTTATAATAGGGATGGGCTCGACCAGTCCATTGTCCAAAACACCTGCTCACTCACTGAGTCTGGTCTCTGCTCAGTGGTTCTCTTCTGGGATCCAAAGCCAAGATGAGGTTCTGATGGAAGAGAAAGAGCTTCAGGAAAAAAAAAAATTAATATGCATGCCATTTACCCTACAATATCCCATTGCCCCCTGGAGGTACCAGAAATGGTTTCTTTGTGGCTCTTAGGAAGGTCTGGGTCTGGCTTCCAGGAGACTTCAATGAAGTCAAATTGAAAGCACCAGCACCAGTGGGCTCTTTCTGAATCATCGCACAAGCTTTTTTTTTTTTTTTTTTTTTTTTACCCCAGCCACCCCCTTTTCTCCGAAATGCCTTCCTCAGAAAGTCACCCGCACGGGCAGTGTGCCCCCCATCCCCACCCCCGCACCACCTACATTCAAATCCTTCTCAGGCGACCGCAGGCAGGTGCAACCCCCGGAAGATCTTTTGTAACATAGGTCGGGCGACGAGGTGGCAGCCGGGATGCCGGTAACTCAGCCGGCCTCACGGCGGCTGGCAAAAAAAGGAGCTCCGGCCGGAGGGATCATGCGACCCCGCAGGCTGGGAGCCCAAAAGGCGACACAGGAATTACGAAGCTCAGGAACCGGCCCCCTCGCTCGCTTCCTCCTCCATCGCCCGGATCGAGGGCGGCCACTCGGCAGCGGCCTCCTGCCACCCGGGAGCCCAGCCCCCTCGCTCTTGCACGCCCCTTGGCTCTCCGCCTCCTACTGGGAGCCAGGAGAACTCTCCCGGAGGTGGCTGGTGTGGGGTTTAGGTTTTTTGTTGTTGTCGCCGTTTCTATTTAAGTACCAGCCCGGGGTAAGGCTTCCGAAACCCTGAAGGGACTTCTCAATGGGGTTCAAGGTTTCGAGAAGGGACAGAAGGAGGGGGAAACTGCCTCGGATCTGCGGTCTGACTTCGGAAAGGCCATCCCCGGGCCTTTCCGGGAGGCTGACGGCCGGGGACCCCCCAGAAACACCGCTGATTTTCTTTGAATTCCCCAAAGGCCCTGGACGTGGCGGCGGCGGTGGGGGATTGCCGGGTCCTCCATTCCCCGCACGGACACAATGGCCGCCGGCGCCCTGCACAAAGACGGGGTGAGGGTGAGGCTCCGGGCCTCTCCTCGGGTCAGGGAGAGGGACTGAGGCCTGCTCGAAGTCCCCCCCCCGCCCCCCAGCTGAGACCACGTTTTCCTGAGGACAGGCCCAAGGTGGCTTCCTGGCGCCCCCGGGAGGGCTTGGGGGCCGGGGGCTGCACCTCTCCGGAGCCCGGGGCCGGTGGGCTGCGGCCTGGCGGCTTCTCCCGCGCGCTAGGCCGGGTACCCGCCGGGCCACCGCCCCGTTGCCAGGCAACTGCTCTCCCTCAGGGGCTCCCCCTAGCCCTTTCAAGAAGGAGGGGTCTCGCCCCCGGCGGCCCGCTCCGGCGTAGCCAATCAGCGAGGCCTGTCGGCACGGAAGCGGGACGGCGAGGGCTCCCATTGGGCGCGGCGCCTGCCACGCATAGGGGAGGCGGTGCTCTCACCTGCGAGCCCCGCGAGCCGTGGGGGGCCACGTCCCCCCTTCATCGGCCAGGTAGTTTCCAGACGCTAGGGCTCTTCGTGGCCAAGTTCCGCGCTGCGGACCTGGGCCGGCCTACCTGGCTGACGGCTCACGCTGTCTCTTCCGAACGAGCCGGCCTCAGTTTCCCCTGAAGAGACCGGGGGAACTTGCAAGCTCAGTCACTTCCGGTGCCGCGGCAGCGCGCGCGAGCCCGAGACGCAAAAGGAGTGCGCGCCCTGAGGACTGTCGTCAAGACCTGGGAGGGAGCGCCCCCTTGCGGCAGATCTGGGGAATCTGGAGACGCAAAAAACAAAAAGAAAATCAACGTTTATATTCACATTTTCGTGCGTTCGTTCATTTAGTCAGTGTCATCCACCCGTGAGTTTATATATCTAAAAAGCGTCGCGTTGTAACTAAGAACCTCGTGTCTGGGTTTCCATCTCTGTCAGTCGGGCAAGTTATTCAACGGCTCTGTGCCTCAATCTCCTTAACTGTAAAATGGCTAAAAACAACCTCCCTCATTGTTATTGTGAGGATTGAAAGAGTTATTTGTAAAATCTGTAGCACCGTGTGTGGTCCATAGTATATGCTGCATAAATGTATTCAATAAACGTTTATTATTTGGGTTGCCGAAGGTAGAAACAAGACAAGACTTGGTCCCGGCTTTCACGAAGACTCAAACCCTTGATCTGGAGACCGTAAACAACTAAGAAAATACACAAACGAAGAAATTTCAGATCGTGACGAGTGCTATGAAAGAAGTAAATCAGGGTATTGTCATAGAGTGAAGGGAGTGTGCTGCTTTAGACTGGGTACTCAAGGTACCAGGGATGTAAACCCTGCCCTTCCAGCCCAGTGAGAGAGGCATTTATTCAACCATTGTTTGTGTAGGGTGGCCAGGGGTGGCCCCTTGGAAAAGAGACATAGAACCCAAGACTTAAAATATAAGAAAACGCTGACCCATGGTAAGAACCTAGAGAATAGCAACCTCGGCAGAGGAAACAGCTTAATGCAGAATGTTCTGAGGCAGGAAGAACATGTTCCAGAAACCAGAGAAGCATGTTTTGGGAGGGGAAATGTGGCTGGCAGGAGGTTGGAAAGTTGACCATGGAAGTGAATTAGACTTGACTCTAAACATTGTAAGGTGTTTTATGTTAAATTAATTAATTAAAATCGGGTATACAGGAACAATGAATATTAAAAATATACAAAGGGCTCCTGGGTGGCTCAGTTAGTCAAGCATCCAACTCTTGGTTTCAGCTCAGGTCGCGATCTCATGGTTTGCGGGATCGAGCCCCGTGTCGAGCTCTGTGCTAACAGCGCAGAGCCTGCTTGGGATTCTCTCTATCCCTTTCTCTCTGCCCCTCCCTCTCTCTCTCTTAAAATAAATAAACTAAAAAAAAAAAAAAACTTTAAAAAAATAAAAACAGTACAGAGAGCATAGAATGAGAAAAATAAGTCATCTTCCCACCTATGCTTTCCAATCCACAGTTCCCCCCACATCCATTATTTCTTCTGTAGTCTTTCAGAGCTGTTCACCGTATTCACAAGCAAGTTATGTGCACAGATTTTTTACACAAATGCTAGCTTGCTATAAACACTTCTTCATCTTGTGCTTAAGGCTGAGCTCTATGTTTTCGGGTCTACCTCAATTTTAAAAATCAACACACAACTTTATAAAGATGTACCTTCATTTGCTTGCCTAATATTCTATGTGGGTACATTTGAGTTGTTTCCATTCCTTTCTTATTACAAAGAATACTATAACTTGTCCATTCATTATTTTGCATGTGTGGGAGTTTATGTTAGGTACATTCCTGGAAGTGGAATACCTACAAGTGAGTATATGAACTTGTTTTTGTTTTGTTTTAATGGATATTGGCAACGTTCTGTCTACAGCAGTTGTACCAGCTTGTCCTTTCCCATCAGTGAAATATTAGAGTGTCATCTTCCTCACATCCTGAACTGCAGTGTATTGCCAGTCAGATAAAAATGAAGTGGCACTTTTCTTTTTTTTCTTTTTTTCCTTTTCTTTCTTTCTTTGTTTCTTTCTTTTGACAAAGAGTGAAGTTGAGCAATTTTTCATAGTGACAAGTCTTTTTCTGGGGGGAATTTGTTCTGGTGCATTCTCTGTTCATTTCATTTGCCCTTTTTTTCAGTTGGCCTTTCCATTGAGCATTTTCTTGTTGATTTATAGGAATTTTTATCCTTTTTTTCTACATCTAAGATGTAAATATTTTTCCAGTTTATTGATTACCATGGACACACTTTTATTTTGTATGTATTTTAATTTATCAGTCTTTTCCTTTGTGGCTTCCAGTTCTATGTCATTCTTAGGAAGACCTTCTACAATTCAATATTAGAAAAAAAATTCTCTGTATTCATCTAGTTTTCACCTAGCTTCATATTTTATATTTCAATCTGTGCCGTCAGAAAGTCACTTTGGTATGGGCTGTGAGGCAGGAAGCCACAATTTTTTTTCCAAATAACTACCCAGTTACCCCACTACTATCATCTTTTCCCAACTCGTTTGATATGTCTTTATGATCATAATCTACATTTCCAAGTGTATTGGGGCCAGTTTCTGAACTTTCTATTATGTTCAATGGGAGAGTTTTAAACTGCGGCAGGATATGATCTGATTTCCTTTTTGAAACCTCAAGTGTCACAATTAGTTCAATATGAAAATTATCATAATGGGAAGTCTATAATGTGCTTTGGGGGTCCAGCAGAGGGCAGATCAACCCTGCCCAGAGACACGGGCTTTATTGAACTGGTCCTTAAAGGGAGAACAGGTTTGCCTGGAAGAGAACGGAGGTAAGGGGTATTTTAGGTGGCGGGCACTGCCTGAGCAAAGGCATGGAGGTCTAACCTGAGAATCCATGGTATGTTCTAGAAATAAATTGGGATGGCTGGGAGGGGAGTGGTGGTAGTGGAGACTGAATGTAATGTGTATTTGCATGTTTGGGACACTGCTTACAGACCAGAGGAGCCAGCCAGGTTCTTTGAACAGAAAGGATATGAAGAGATTTATATTTTGGAAAGATGGATAGAGTCTTTTGGGAAGGGAATTTTGCAATATTTACCAAAAGCCTTAAACACCAGGCTGGGAAGATCATTGAGAAATGGTCTTTGATTGCAATTGAATTTAAGAAGTGAAATGCATCCAAAGATTTATCCACAGAGATGTTTGTGCAAGGTTATTTATAACAGAGGAAGGAAAAATTAAAACTAAAATGGGCAATAAATAGGGTGATGGTTTGCATGGGTTAAATTCCCACATTAAAATTGTAACTGAGGAATATTTAATGTAGTGGAAAAATGCTCCAAACATAACACTTAAAAATTACAAAACTTGTGATTTTTAAAAATACGCATTAGGGGCGCCTGGGTGGCTTAGTCGGTTAAGCGTCCGACTTTCGCTTAGGTCATGATCTCGCGGTTCGTGGGTTCAAGCCCCGCGTCGGGCTCTGTGCTGACTGCCAGCTCAGAGCCTGGAGCCTGTTTCAGTCTGTGACTCTCTCTCTCTCTGACCCTCCCCTGCTCACACTGTCTCTCTCTCTCTCCTAGAAATAAATAAAAATATTTAAAAAAAAATACGCATTACACACAAAATGTAGAAGAAGGAATTATACCAGAGTGCAAAAGGTAGTTATTGCTGAGTAGTCAAATTATGGGTGATTTTCTCTTTTTTTTTGTTTTTTGTTTTTGTTTTTTAATGCTTTTCTGTATTATCTGACTATATTGTTTCAATGGGAAAACACTGTTTTATTAACGTTTATTTTTGAGACAGAGAGAGACAGAGCATGAGTTGGGGAGGGACAGAGAGGAGATACAGAATCCTTAGCTGGCTTCAGGCTCCAGGCTCTGAGCTGTCAGCACAGAGCCAGACGTAGGACTCGAACCCAGGAACTGTGAAATCATAACCTCAGCCAGAGTCACACACTTAAGCCACCAAGCCACTGAGGCGCCCTGGAAAACATGTTTTTAAAAATATGTTTGCTGAGATTTAGATGATGAGGAAATGCTTGTGGTGTAATGTTAAGTGAAAATAATAAAAGTACACACATGGGATGCCTAGGTGGCTCAGTCGGTTTAAGCATCCAACTTCAGCTCAGGTCATGATCTCACAGTTCGTGGGTTCACGTCCCGCTTTGGGCTCTGTGCTGACAGCTAGCTCAGAGCCTGGAGTCTGCTTCGGATTCTTTGTCTCCCTCTCTCTCTAACCCTCCCCTGCTCATGCTGTCCCCCACCTCAGAAATAAATAAAACATTAAAAAAAAAAGAAAAGAAAAGTACACAAAATTAGGGACTCCTGGGTGGCTCACTCGGTTGAATGTCCAACTTCACCTCAGGTCATGATCTTGCAGTTTGTGAGTTTGTGCCCCGCATGGGGCTTGCTACTCTCAGCGCATAGCCCGCTTCAGATCTTCTGTCCCCTTCTCTTTGTGTCCCTCCCCTGCTTGTGCCCTCTGTTTCTCAAAAATAAATAAAACATGGGTTGCCTGGGTGGCTCAGTCGGTTAAGCGTCCTACTTCGGCTCAGGTCATGATCTCATGGTTCGTGGGTTTGAGCCCCGCGTCGGGCTCTGTGCTGACAGCTAGCTCAGAGCCTGGAGCCTGCTTCGGATTCTGTGTCTCCCTCTCTCTCTGATCCTCTCCTGCTCACGCTGTCTCTATCTCTGTCTCAAAAATAAATAAAACATTAAAAAAATTTAAAAAGTAAATAAAACATTAAAAAAAATTTTAAGTACACAAAATTAGATGTGTGACACAATCT